CAGCTGAAAGTCTGGGCTTGGGGGGTGGGGCTATCCAAGACCCACACTCTGGAGCAGGTCTCGCTCCCCTCCAATCTCCCCCTCTCCGTGTCCTCCCCCAGGCCTCTGCCAGCAAGCGGGGCCTCAGGCCGATGGATCCCTGCTTGCTGTGACGCGGGCTGGGAGGTTCTGCACCCAGGATCATAGCCTGAGCTGGGTGCACAGCCCTCTTTTGGGAGGAGGGTTGCCTCCCAGGCACACTGATCTGCCCCTGAAGGCACACACTCCTCAGTAGGCTCCTTCACAGATCCCTCCTCCATGTCCCAGGGCAGCGCGATCGCGACCCAGGTGCATGGGGTCTGGTCTGCAGGCCTGACCCCTGGACCCTGGAGATCAATCCCTGACCCTGCCAGGGGGAGGGGTGCTGGTCCCGAATCACCTACAGAGCGCCCAAGCTGGATCAATTTCACTCCACCTCAGGATTTGCCCCATTCTCCTGGAGTCCCCAGGCAAGTAGCACCTGGGAGGGCTGGCAGGTAGGGAACTCGCAATCTGAGTGCCCCTCAGTCTGTTGTAGGGCCCCAAAAGGAAAGGTCCTGTTCCTTGGAGATGCCTCCGTGTGATGGCTAAATTGTCTCTCTGGACACGCACGGGTAGGGAGGGGGAAGGAGAGAATGGAGCACTATGGCGTCTGCCGCTAGGCTTGGGTCTGCACCCGGGAAGGTGCCCCGAGGGGGCTGGAGTCTGCGGGGCTCAGAGCCTGGCGCTGAGTCTGCAACAGGCCACTGCTCACTGGTGGCAGCCATCTCTGGGCTGGTGTCGGCAGGTCTCTCCAGCCGCTCAGGAGCCACCCGCAGTCCAAGATGCTAGGGAGGGGAAGTTAACCGCTCCACCTACCTTTGTCGCTGGTCTCCAATCCTCTTGGGACCTCTCTCCTTCCAGTTCTCCTCCACAACATCTTCCCGTGGAGTCTCCTGTAGTTTCAGGCACCCTTCCTTCTGCCCCTCACCCGATCTATGTTTCTCTGCTCGCTTATTTTTTTTCTCTTTCTCCTAAAATTCGTCATTTTTGCAGAGACCTTCTAACTGGCGGCTTGTCTCATCCGCCATCTTGGCTCCTCCCTTGCTTTATTCTTGACTTTAAAGAAAATGCTTCTAATGGTTTATCATTAAATATAAGAGTTGCTACAGGTTTGGGGTAGACACCCTGTAGAAAATTCCTTTTGTTCCTTATTTGTTAAATGTTTTACACTAGTGGATTATTGATTTTATTAGATGATGCTTAAGCATCTCTTTCTTATATGCTGATAAGATTAATTAAATTCATAGATTTACATACTATATACATACATGTATATTGTTTAAAAAACCAAATTCTTCTATAAGCGTTGTGATTAAAAATGCCTGTTTTCTGCCTGCTTCTGATTTTCATGCCCAAGAGGCAAGCACTTTCAATTTTAGATGCTTCTTTTTCTATTGAGTTCCATGTTTCTCTTTCTGTTGAATAGTTTCTAAATATAGTTTGTATTGTAATTCCTTAATTTTTTTCCATTTTAGATAATTTATATTAACTCCACACTCATGGAAATGAGAATAATCCTCTCTCTTTTTCTCTCCTCTCTCTCTCACACGCAAAGTTCCCATTGCTCTGCTATCATTATATGATAATTTATTTTTAAATTAATATGCAACATTCGTATTGTTATGAACATGTAAATATTGTTTACAACTGAATCATGTACTGTATTATTATTACATATTTTTAAAAACATTTTGCTTTTCTTGTAGCTAATATTGGCATCATTTTTCATAGTTATCTAATTTTCTATGTATTGACATAATTTGTCCCCTAACTCTCCAAAATTGTACATCACCTCTCAGTACATCCAAGTATATTCTATTTGTCCCATATTTTTGTGGGGAAAAAATCTTTTTTGGAACACTGCCTTCCTTTCCCGATCTGAACTGAGATTGCTCTCATAGTTTGCTTCACAGCCATTATTTTGTCAATTTTATTATATAAAGGAAATATTTTGTCAATTTAAAATCGTTTCAGATTATGACACAACGATACAATGAAACACAATTTATAAGGAACAAGGTGTAAAACAATTTTCTAACTATATTGTTAAGTAAAAAAAAAAAAAGCAAGATGTTTAAGAATATATAAATAGGGCTGGGTGCAGTGGCTCACTCCTGTAATCCTAGCACTGTAGGAAGCCCAGGTGGGAGGATTGCTTGAGCTCAGGAGTTTGAGACCAGCCTGAGCAAGAGTGAGACTCTGTCTCTCCTAAAAACAGAAAAATTAGAGGAATGTGGTGGCGCAAGCCTGTAGTCCCAGCTACTCGGGAGGCTGAGGCAGGAGGATTGCGTGAGCCCAGGAGTTTGAGGCTGCTGTGAGCTAGGCTGAGGTCATGGCGTTCTAGCCCTGGCAACAGAGCGAGACTCTGTCTCAAAAAAAAAAAAAAAAGAATATGTCGATAATGTGGTGCTCAAATTAAATCACTAAAAAAAGAATACGTAGATAATGTTTCTATTAGTATAAAAAATTTCAGATTATATATCCATACATGTTTGTATTATATATAAACATATATACTATGATTACTATATATAGTACATATACAATTTATATATAATATACACACATACACCTTATTTGTGGTGTATATACTATGTATAAACATATATGACAATATATGTAAGAAAGTGATAATCACAGTTACTCTGAAGAGGCATTTAGGGGACTGGTGTTCAGGGCAGGAGAGAGATTGACTTTGTACTTTTAATAATATTTTTACTGTTTGCCTTTTTGACACATATATACACTACTTTTTCAAAAATAAAAACACTGTTTAATTTTTTAAGAGTTTCTAGCTTCTAGGACTACCATACTGTACTAAAATAATTAGAATCCATTTCTACGAAATTACTGTTGCTGTCTTAAATAAATTGTGAAGAATAGGAGAGGTACTGTGAGAGTTGAGAATAGACTGAAAGGCACTAAGAGTGAATCTTTGTTTGTTTTCTGTGGCTTACAACAGAATACCTGAAACAGGGTGATTTATAAAGAAAAGGAATTTATTTCTTATACTTGTGGAGGCTAAGTCCAAGATTAAGGGACTGCATCTGGTGAGAGCTTTCTTGCTGGTGGGGACTCTGTAGCATCCAAGACGGCACCGGGCATCACATGGTGAGGGGCTGAGTGTGCCAATGTGCTAGCTCGGGTCTCTCTTCCTCTTCTTATAAAGCCACCAGTTTCCAGCCCATAACCCATTAATCCATGAATAGCAGAGCCCTCATGATGCAATCAGCTCTTAAAGGTCTCTCAATAATACCACATTGGGGATTGGGTTTCAACATGAGTTTTGGAGGGAACATTCAAACCATAGCAGAGTGGAAACAGGGAGACCAATCTAAAGGCCACTGCAACAACCCCGGTGAGAGACACGGTAGCTGGGTCTATGGTGGTAGCCACAGAAGTAATGAAAGATGATCAGCATTGGGAGAAATAGATTATAGATATAAATGTAGACAAAGATGAATAAAATAAAAAAGATATCACATTTTATTGTCAGCAGAATCTCTATATATAGTTTTATACAATTTAAAAATGGATAATATTAACTATACAAAATCCATTAGCACTTACATGGCTACTTCAACAGGTTTGTGCTATGTAATTTAGTGAATTTTACAAATAATTAAAGTTACTTAGCACCACTTCAGTTAAAAGTATCAGCTTTAAACTCAGACACACACAAACACACACACACACACACATCACCACACATTATCAAACATCAATATTCCAAACCCAGAAAATCAATAACTAATTTACAAAGTAAATACTGTCTTTAAAAACAGTGGTAGAAAAGTTAGGTTAAAAGCTATTGCTTGAAATTTTTCAGCTTAGATCCAAAAAACAAATTCTCAGCAAACTGAGAATTTTAAGAACAACCACCATATTTCAGTAAAGTTGAATATGACTGCTTCACAATCAATACCACATATATCAGAAAAGCATAATTTCTGGTTGTCAAAATAATGACTTCCTTGTTAGTCTGAACTATAGCTTTATGTCAACAATTTATATAAATGAGTTGAAAATGTGATTCTTTCTGATTCAAATTAAAATGAAGGTGCTGATATTAATACAATGTTACTTCAAATAATTAAGAAATTTTATCTATCTGTTAGCCAAGAGGCCAAGTCACCTCCAGTAACTGTCCTGTAATACCAAAGGAAATATATTTCGCCTCTAATGAAGCACAGATCTGGGCTATAGTTCTGGTCTGCCATGAACTAGCAATGTGAACTGAACCCAAGAATTTCATTTCCTCAGCTAAAGAATTGAAGGAGTTTGGTTAAGGTGCTCTCTGTAAAGGACTTTGCCACTGAAAAAGAAATTAATTCAGCTTGAGAATTTCTGCTTTGAGATGATATTTAGGGTGGAGTAAGAAGTAAATTTTTTAAAAGGTATATGGACTTACTTTCTTGTACACGTGCAATACCATAATTTAGAACTACCTATAGTGTTGATCCGGAAAAATGTTGCACATGGAATGTCAATATAATGATTGATATTATTAAAAAGTCTGAAAATGAAGCATCAAACAATAAAAATGTTTAAAATCTTTAAAGTGTTTGTGATATTTGAGTTAAAAAAAAAAATGATGCACTACTACCAGTTAGAATATCCCACCTTTGAATTTTAAAAGCTAAGAATCTGAGCAGAGGGAAAATGACATAGAAATTTCAAGCCATTCTGTTAGAAAAATAATCAATACATACCAATTAAAACATACCTTGAAATACCATCAAGAAAACAAAGATAACAAAAACTGGTTTCCACAGAAAAGATGATTCCTTTCACCAAAGCACCATACAAATGTGTTATCTTAACATACGCACAGAGACAGACAGACACATACACACACACACACACACACACACATACACATACATTATCTTGAATGAATTGAACAAAAATAAATATTAAAAATGCTCTATGACCCAGAATGGAATAGCTTCCCCATTGATGCTAACATTCTAATTGGTTCTTCTTTTCTGTCTCCATTATAAGGACCACTTCATAAGTTTCTAGTTCAATGCTATTGCAGGTATCTTACAAATTCTGTATCTCTCAAGGTTACAAGGAATATCACTCCAGGACCATTTATCTTTTTTATAAACAAGAACAACACAGTTTTCTTCCTTAAGGTTGTTGGGTTCACCCTCATGCCAGAACCTGAAAAGAAATAAATAGATAGATATAAATATAGATATAGATAGATATCAGAGGAAAATTCAGGGAAAATGCCCCTCGCGTGCATTTTAGAGCTGCACTGTCTAATACAACAGTCACTAGCCACATGTGACTTCTGAGCCCTCGAAATGTGGCTTCTCTGTATTGAGATGTGTTTTAAGCATTAAGTGCACACTATATCTTGAATATTTATTGCAAGAAAAGATGTCAAAGATCTCAGTAATAATTTTATATTGATTACGTGTTCAAATGGTAAGATCTGGATATATCAGGTTAAATATATTATTAATTATTAATACATTATTAAAATAAATTTCACTTGTGTTTTTATTTTCTTAACATGGGTACTAAAAAATGTCAAATTACACATGTGGCTTTGCATTATATTTGTACTAAACAATACTGGCTTCAAAGAAGAAAATGACAAAGTTATAACCCTGTTTCAAAAGCAATTTTTATCTCTTCCATTGTTGATCCAAATGTAAATCTAAGAAAGTTTTTTCACATCACTCTCATGCTGTTCTTTCACTGACATTGTACAAATAAGGATACTGAAAACTTCAGTGAAGTCATAGGCTCATTCTGTAACTGGGACATAACATACAGAAGTCACTGAACACATATAGTGTTCTATTCTGGCTAACATTTTTTACATAGCTGTACTCCACCCCAAAATGAATTCTTCTTGCTACCTTCTCCCCACCTTCACCTATAAATCCCCTTAGTCCCACTCAATATACTCACGCCATGTGCGTGTTAAATGGCGTCTTGTCCACCCAGCGCCAGTGACCTTCGGTGTTCTCATCTGTAAGTCCTAGGAAATACAAAAACTGTCTATCCAAAAATCGAATTATAAAGTTCTGCAAAAAAAAAAAAAAGTAAATTTTTAAAAATATATTTGCACTTATCAGGTGATGGCTGTTATGTTGGAGAAAAAGGAAAGAAGTCGAATAGATTTTGGTTAACCACAAAAGCTTTGGCATTAGATAGATCTACTTTTTTTTTTTTTTGATTGGATCCTGTTTTTTCTTTTATTTATTTACTTTTATTTAGAAGTATTACAGGGTACAAATAATTTTGGTCACATGGATTGCTTTTATAATGCTTGAGTCATGGCCAGAGTACATGTCACCCAGATACCGTTCACTGTACCCTTTAGGTAGGTTTTCACCATCTCCTCTCTCCCCCTTCCTCTGGGTGATTTCTGTTGAGTTTTACTTCCCTGTATGCACATGTGTGCTCATCGGTTAGCTCCAGTTTAATAGTGAGTACATGCAGTGTTTGTTTTTCCATTTTTCATTTAGGATAATGGTCTCCAGTACCATCCAAATTGCTGCAAAAGGCATTAAGTCATTCTTCCTTACGTCTGAGTAGTTCTCCGTGGTATACATATACCACATTTTGTTAATCTACTCAAGAATTGATGGGCATTTGTGCTGATTCCACATCTTTGCATCTGTGAATTGTGCTGCAATAAACATTCGAGTGCAGGTGTCTTTTTGATAAAATGACTTCTTTTCCTTTGGATAAATACCCAGTAGTGGGATTGCTGAATCAAATGGTAGGTCAACTTTTAGTTCTTTGAGGAATCTCCACACTAATTCCACAGAGTTCTTACTAATTTGCAATCCCACCAACAGTGTGTAAGTATTCCTTTCTCTCTGCGTCCATGCCAACATCTATTGTTTCTGGACTTTTTAATAAAGGCCATTCTGACTGGGGCAAGGTGATATCTTATTGTGATTTTAATATGCATTTCCCTGAGGATTAGTGACATTGAACATTTTTTCATATGTTTACTGGCCATTTGTCTATCTTCTTTTGAAAAGCTTCTGTTCAAGTCTTTTGCCCACTTTTTAATGGGGTCGTTTGTTTTTTTCTTGCCAATTTGCTTGAGTTCTTTGTAGCTTCTGGTTATTAGTCCTTTATTAGATGTATAGCTTGCGAATATTTTCTCCCATTCTGTATGTTGTCTATTTGCTCTGTTAATTATTTCCTTGGCTGTGCAGGACACTTTTAATTTAATCAAGTCCCATTTTATTTATTTTTGTTGTTGCTGTGATTGCCATTGTGGTCTTCTTCATAAATTCTTTGCCTAGGCCAATATCTAGAAGAGATTTTCCTATGTTTTCTTCTAGAATTCTTATGTTTCATGCCTTATATTTAAGTCCTTTATCCATTGTGAATTAATATTTGTGAATAGTGAGAGATATGGATTGTGTTTCATTCTTCTGCATCTGGCTATCCAATTTCCCTGGCACCATTTATTGAATAGGGCTTCTTTCCCCCACTATATGTTGTCGTCTGCTTTGTCAAAGATCAGTTAGCTGCTAGGTGGATAGTTTTATATCTGGGTTTTCTGTTCTGTTCCATTGGTCTATGTCTCTATTTTTGTGTCAATACCATGCTGATTTAGTTACTATAGCCTTGTAGTATAGTTTGAAGTCTGGTAATGTGATACCTCCTGATTTGTTCCTTTTCCTTAAGATAGATAGATCTATTTTCAAATCCTCATCGTAATGTTAGTAAGCACTTTAATCTCAGCCAGCCCCAATTTTTCTCATCTCTAGAAGGGACAACTCCATTACTTCATAGAGTTACTGTGAAGATGAAATGAGATAATACTTGCAATCCTCTCAGTACAATGCTTAATAGGATTGAATTTTTTGTTTACATATTACATTAAATCCCTTTTTTTTTTTTTTTTTTTTTTGAGACACAGTCTCACTGTGCTGTCCTGGCTAGAGTGCCTTGGCATCAGCCTAGCTCACTGCAACCTCAAACTTCTGGGCTCAAGCAATCCTTCTGCCTCAGCCTCAGGCATGTTCCACCATGTCCGGCTAATTTTTTCTATATATTTTTAGTTTTCCAGCTAATTTATTTCTATTTTTAGTAGAGATGGGGTCTCACTCTTGCTCAGGCTGGTCTCGAACTCTTAACCTAGAGCAATCCTCCCACCTCAGCCTCTCAGAGTGATAGGATTACAGGCATGAGCCACTGCCCCCAGCCATTAAATCCCATTTTATTCAAAGAGTGAATGAACCTGTAGGTTGCAAAGCCATTAAAACAGACTACTCAAGGTAACTTTGCTGACCACAAAAAGAGTAGACTCTGAAAAACAAACACCACATGTACCCACTATTAAAATGGAACTAACTGATGAGCACACATGTGCACAGAGGGAAATGAAATTCAGTGGAAATCAAGCAGAGGGACGGCAGGCAGAGGGGATGGGCGAAAACCTACCTAACAGGTACAGTGCACATTATCTGGGTGATGGGCACAGTTATAGCCCTGATCCAAGCATTACAAAATCAATCCATGTAACCAAAACATTTATACCCCTGTAATATTTTGAAATTTTAAAAAAAGCTTAGAATCTTAGTCATGGTACATATATGGAAATACATTCCATGAGGAAATAAAGTTCAGCTTTTAAAGGTTTGAATTTAGGCTGGGCACGGTGGCTCATTCCTGTAATCCTAGCACTCTGGGAGGCTGAAGGGGGTGGATCATTTGAGCTCAGGAGTTCGAGACCAGCCTGAGCAAGAACAAGATCCCATCTCTACTAAAAATAGAAGGAAATTAGCTGGACAACTAAAAATATATAGAAAAAATTAGCCGGGCATGGTGGCACATGCCTGTAGTCCCACTACCCTAGAGGCTGAGGTGGGAGGATCACTTGAGCCCAACAGTTTGAGGTTGCTGTGAGCGAGGCTGATGCCAAGGCACTCTAGCCAGGACAGCAAGAGCGAGACACTGTCTCAAAAAAAAAAAAAAAAGCTTGCATTTACCTTAAGATTTCTTCATTCAGAATTAGAACCATACATTTGAACTATTTTTCCTATACTTTATCCTGAGAAAATATTTCAGTCCTGGTTAACCTCTTAACCAAACATTTATCAAGACCCAAGCGGTGTGCCTGGCACTGCACAGGACATTGAAGGTGTGAAGACGAGTAAAGCATCGCCCAGCCCTCCACCAAGTCGGCATCACCGGAAGAGATGGAGTGGTGACTAGACAATTATAGTGCACTGGAGTAAATACCATGATCTCACTGTGCACAAAGTACCACAGAAGTACGTCCAACTTAGAATAGGGAGGGTGGAGTAGGGAAGGTGGTCAGGCTAGTTTTCTGGAAGAAATAACACAGGAATTAAATCTGGGAAGACCAAAAGAAGTTGGCCATAAGAAGAAAAATGGGAGAGGAAGAAAAGGCTTCCCAGCAGAGTGGAGCAGGTGAAGCAAAGAGACAGGGGGGTAACAGAACAGAGAAATTCCTCTTTCTCTGCAGAGATTCAAACCAGCAGAGAAACCGATGTGATCCTCCTGACACACCTGCTCAGCTTCTGTGCTGATGGTTGCCAGATGAGCCGCCATCCCTGAACAGTTTCTTTCACTCTCAGCCCACGTCTTGTTGTCATTAAGAGGAAGAAAGCAGTTGGACTGGAAGGCTCTCCAGAGAACAGGACAGCAATTCCAGGTGCTCCCTCAGGTGAAAATTGAAATGGAAATTATTTCATCCATAACAGATTGCACAACCATTCTACAACATAATATCCAATTAATACTTGTGGAAATAATGCCAGGATTACCAAAATCATTGTTTCCCCCTCCTCTCCAAAAAATCCTGAAGATGACATTGCTAAATGTAAGTATTGGAAATCACATAATGACTACGAGAAAATTACAAAGTATTCTCTTAGAAGACATTATTATTATTCAATTTCCATACATCTATTTACTTTCATATTTAAAGTGTTTCCATAGCAAAGCTTTTTGCAGAACATTTTATGTGAAGGGGCAAAGAATCTGCTAAAACTCAAGCATTCTCCCCTTCTCCCAAATGAGACTTTACAAATTCCAGAATAATAAAAGAAATAAAGACATCTCAGCAAAGCTATACATTCTATGAATAGGAGAAAACTGTTCTTACAATATGTCTGAATCAAGGGGAAATGGAATGAAATTAATGTTATGTTTTGGATGTCAAAAATGGCCCATAAATTTGTTAAGTTATATTCTCCAGTTATTCAACTAATTATAGTCATAAGAAACAATTCTATCTTAATTTACCAATGTTCACTCCTGTGCCAGATTCTCATCTTATTTTAATCTTTCCTGGCTTACTACTGATAATCTTTAAATTAAAATGTGAGAAAAAAAAGAAAAAATCAAATTGTGAATTTGAGTAGAAATGGAAATAAGAAATTCCCTTAGGCTCTCTGCCATCTGTACCTTTGAGTTCTGACGTCTCTCTGATGCACGTTAGCTTCGTATAGTACTCTGGTAACTTGTGCGTTCCCGTGCTTCTCTTACAGCGTAGAAAGTTGTAATGAGTCACTGTCAAGGAAGAAAAAAGTTACCTTTATTTTCCTATGTATTTCCAATACTTACATAACCACTTACTTAGGAAAATGCGGCCTGATCTCTTTAACCTTTATCTTATCCTAGTAGTTAAAGCCCTCACATTCTTTTTTCTTCCTATGCAGTTCTTTTGTTCTAGCTCCAGGTGAATTGGTTGGAAGCAATTGTTGAAAATTAATGTTCTTATTATCATATTGTCCATTTTGTGCTTTACAGGAATAATTTTGCAAACTTCTATGTGCACATACCTTTAAGCCATATTTCTATCAAAATTTGTTTTAGAGTGGGGAATTTTGGTGAGCACTAGGATAGTTCTGTGGTTTTATGAGCCTTATACATTTTTTAATATTTTTACTTTAAAATATGACCACATGTAAAAAAGTGAAAAACATAAATGCATAGTTTAGCAAATTATTGTGAAGTGAACACTCCAGGTAACCACTACCTAGCTCAAGAAACAACATTGCCAACACCCCAGGTGGCCTTCATATCCCAAATGCAGCCCTCTTTTTCCCCCGTAAAGGTAATTTTGTGGCTCTTAAAGTAACCACTCTGTGTTTTGCCTCACAATTTTACCATTTAATAACGTATCTCCAAACATAGATCAGATTTGCCTGCTTTTGAGCTTTCGATAAATGTAATCATCTGGTATGTACTCTTCTGATTCTATCTTCTGCTCAGCATTGTTTCTGGAATTTATCCATGTTACACATAATTATAATTCATCCATTTTCATTGCTGTAAAGTGACCTACTGTAAATAGATCTACCGGATCTATTCATCCGGTAAAACGTATTTATCTAATCTACTTCTGGCGGATATCTGAGTTGTTTCCAGTGTCTGGCTGTTGTGAACTGTGCTACTCTGAGCATTTTTGACCACGCATCCTAGAACACATAAGCAGGCATTTCTGTAGGGTATAGATCTAGGAGTGGAATTGTGGTAATAGGGGATGCATATTGTAAATACTGGTAAACTTTTCCAAATCTCCCACCAGCAGCAATTCATTAACCGTCCAGGCGCTCCGCAGCATCATCAATATTTGGTAGTACCAGACTTTTCCACTGTTGCCACCCCATTGTGTTTGCAGCGGCATCTCATTGTAAGCTGCAGTTGAGCCTCCCTGATAACTAATGCGGTTGACCTTCAGCGTGTGTTTATTAGACATTTCATTTTCTCTTTTCTATTGTGCCTATTTAAGACTTTGCCTCTTTTTCTATTTCATTGTCATTATTTTTCCTATTCATGTGAAAGATTTTTTTATGTAGTCTGCACACTAATCCATTACTAATTATATGCATTACAAATACCTTCTCTTACAGCTTTCTGCTTTCACTTGTAGTGGTATCTTTTGTTGTACAGTAAATCTCATTTTAATGTAGTATATTTTGTCAATGTTTTCTTTATTTTCTAGTGCATTTTGTGACTTAAGAAATTCTCTGCCTCAAGGTCATGAAGATATTCTCCATTTATTTTCTTAAAATTTTATTGATTCACTTCACATTTTGGTCCATAATCCACCTTCGATTGGTTTTTGTACATGGCATGATGCAGGAGACCAATTTTATTTTTAAAATATAAATAATCAATGGGCTGTACAACATTTGTTGAGCAAAACTCTCCCTTTCCCATAGCTCTGCAATATCCACTTCTGTTTTATAGAAAGAGTTTTGTTATGCAGGATCTGTAACTAAGCTCTCTTATTATTTTCCTCTGGTCTATTTGTCTTACACCTATACTATATTACTTAAATTACCATAACTTTATTTTAGATCTTCATATCAGAAAGAATGTCTTCCTATCATTCTGATGGTGGTGATGGTTTCAGCAGTGCATACTTATTCCCAAACTTGAGATATATACATTAAACATGTGCAGCTTTTTATGTGTAAATAAGATCTCAACAAAGAGGTTTCAAAAAAAAAAAAAGGAAGAAAGAACAAGTGTTCCAGCCTTGTTCTTCTTTTCAAAGCCAGTCCATTTAAAGTTGCTTTTTTGCTGCTTACTCTTTACTCATAAGATGTACCCCTTTATAATCCCAGTCCAAAATGGGAAATAATTTATTATACTCATTGATATGGTTTGGATGTTTGGCCCCTCCACATCTTATGCTGAAATTTGATCCCCAGTGTTGAAGGTGGGGCCTGGTGGGAGGTGTTTGGGTCGTGGGGGCGAATCCCTCATGAATGGCTTGGTGCCCTCCCATGATAATGAGTGAGTTCACGTGAGAGATGGTTGTTTAAAGAGCCTGGCACCTCCTCCTCCCTCTCTTGCTCCTGCTCACCTTGACATACCTGCTCACCCTTTGCCTTCTGCCTTGATTGGAAGCTCCCTGAAACCCTCACCAAAAGCAGGTGCCAGACCAGGCTTCTTGTATAGTTTACAGAACTGTGAGCCAAATAAACCTCTTTTCTTTATAAATTACTCAGCCTCAGGCGTTTCTTTATAGCAGCGCAAAAACGGACTAACACACTCATCGACTTTTACATATGCAGAAAATGGTCTAAATTCCATCTTTCATTCCCTGACATAAAGGTAACAGTACCAAAAAATAGAAGGTAAAGTATGTAACTCTAAATTTTAAATCCAAGACCCCAAAGACATTATAGATTGATTACGCTGGGGAAACTCAAGAGAGTAAAGGCTTAGGGCAACTTTTGTGAAAGTTATTTGGGAAAATAATTCAAGAAGAGTCCCACTTTGGCTAACGACTTACCCAAACAATTTGCAATAAAACAGGCACTGAGAAGTGAGATGAGAACAATAGCAATAATCCAAGGGACCTGCTGGGAATGCTCACCTCCTTCTATTAGTACAAAAAGAAAAATAAAGAGGTTAAACTCATCTTGGCCACAGGCTAGGGAAGCCAATTCTACAATGGAGCAAGCTAAATATGAGAGCATCCAAAATATTTTAAATCTAGAGAAGAGCTTAAATGTTTTCTCTGAATAAATCAATTTTAGAGCTCACTGATAAATGAATAAATAAGAAAAATGGAAGCAATTTTTTTAGTAATTTTGGAATAAGAAAGGCTGTTTGTGTGTGTGTGTGTGTGTGTGTGTGTGGTTTTTTTTTTGTCACAGAGTCTCGCTCGGTTGCCCAGGCTAGAGTGCTCTGGCATCATTGCTCACAGCAACCTCAAACTCCTGGGCTCAAGAGATCCTCCTGCCTCAGCCTCCCGAGTAGCTGGGACCACCGGCATGCGCCACCATGCCCAGCTAATTTTTCTGCTTTTAGTAGAGATGAGGTCTTGCTCTTGCTCAGGCTGGTCTCAAACTCCTGAGCTCAAGCAATCCTCCCGCCTCGACCTGCCAGAGTGCTAGGATTGCAGGCTGAGCCACCATGCCTGACCAACAAAGGTTTTTTTAAGCAAGACATAAAAAAACCCAAAAGCCATAAAAAATTGGATAATTTGGGTATATTAAAATTAAACTTATCTATAACCTAAAAAATGTTAAAAGGCAAAGGACACATGGGGGAAAAGTCTTGTCATAAAATCCAGACTATATAAAGAATTTCAAAAATCAATTAGAAAACTGAGCAAAACTTTGAGCAGGAAATTTGCTGAAAATTTAATTTGCTGAAATTATAAATGGCCATTAAACAAACAAAAGTATGAACAAGGAACAATAAACTAAAAGATTGTGGTATAACTTCTCCATATCCGATTTAAAAAGGTAAATTAAAAATGTGCAGTGTTGGCAGGCTGAGGGTAAGCGCTCTGGGTGAGAAAATAAAGGCTGTTACTGAGATTGTAAATTAGAAATGCCTTTTAGAAGGATCAATTTAGTAGCATTTATCAATTTTTAAATGCATTACACTTGTCACAACAATTTCAATTATAGGTATCTATCCTACAGAAATAACTGAACTTATTTATGTTAAAGGTTATTCATTGCAGTACTTTTGGAAATAGAAAAAAACAACAAAAAGAAAACCACTAGAATCTAATACTTAACATGTGTATTATTAATAGCAGAAATTCTAAATTATGGTGAATCCATATAATGAAATTCTATATAGCAATTACATAATCCTGTATATCAGTGTGTACTGACATAAAAAATCTCCAAGACATATTGTTACATCAAAAGGCATTTTTAGGAACTTTGTACAGTGTGATCCTATTGAAGTTTGCCATGGTAGGGTGATGAGATGAAGCAAAATTTTAATTTTAAATTTACATATTTCTGCATTTATTCTATATATTTCTCAGAAATATCATTTAATGTTCTTGTAATACAAATCCACTGGTATATCTTAATCCAAACATAAAATAGAATGGTCAGAGTCTCTGATACATCATGAGCTTAAGTCAGTGTGTTTTCTACATCTTCCTTCTCTCTCTCTTCTTTAAAAGAATCTTTCCACATTACTCTCTTTTCATCTTATTTCTCTTTTATATACTTTATCTCCTCTCTTGGTTCAATCTACATTTTATAAAGAAGGTTCTATTACCCAACTTGTTTGAATCTATGTCCTTCCTCTTAGCCAAATTCATCCTCATTTCCTTCTACTTTCTCCTCCTCATTATCATCATCCACAATCTTTAAAGCTACAGTCAATTCATATTTTTAAATTTAGTCATAATTCCAACTGCCTCTTTGAAATTGAAAGGAGAGAAAGTACTCACCTTTACTTTGAGATTCTTCTAGCCCCATGTGTGAATACTCTCTTGTTGTTCAGTGGTCAGGAGGAACAGGAACCTCTTTTGTTTGTTTTTTCCCAGAGTATATTTCTGTGGATAGAGAAATATATTCAGAAATATTGAACATTAATCTTACCCATTCTAGTGAGATTAGAAAGTTCCAAATATAAGTGAGTTAACTCAAAAGGAGAAAACTTTTCAAAGGTTGGGGTTTCCCTTGATTCACTCTGGGAGATGAGGCAAACAAAAAAAAAAAAAAAAAAGGGAAATTGAGAAAGCAATGCCCATTTAGTAGAAACTTCCATAAATATGTTTAAATCACTAGGTTGGTGTGTCATGTGGAATTTCTCAA